CAAATACAAGTTCTAGGGGCTCCTAGAGATTTCTTAGTATTTTCTCTGTAGATGATCATTTCATCTACATATAAAGATTTTACTTCTACCTATCCAATCCTATCCTACAATTTATGAGGTTTTCAATAGTGGCCAGTCACCCAGATTTTTCAAAAGGAAACTGACACCCCCCCTCCTTCTATACCCATTTGAAAGTTTTTCATATCTTTTCCCCCTTAAGTCCTGTGTTTTCAGCACCCCTTTGCTACACTGGGCTCTGCCTTATGACATGTTTTAGATTCAGATGTGTCCCAAGCATATAGCTCCTAGCCTTGCCATTTCCAGTCCAGATTGCTTGCTTTTTCTGTAGATTCCTCCATCCCAACAATGTTCAAGGCATTTTTAACTTCATGTCACTCTATCCTTGGCTATTCTCCCTTGTTCTGAAAAGTTTTTTAATCTATGAAAAAACTTCATCATAGGGAGAGTCTCCCTGCTAGAGAGTCATCTTCAACACAAACCTGAATTGAAGCTCCTGTTAGTTCATACATTGTCTGTGTTTAGAGGACCCAATGAAGACCGACATTTGTATATCTTAAATTTTCCTTTTTGCATGTTGAAGTTTTGAACAACTTAGGCTGGAAATGTCCAGTGTTGGACCAGTCTATTGGGTTCTATATATACCTCATCCTCCTGGTGTTTTACTAAATTTACTCCCTTGACATATGTGCTGTACTAACTTTTGGACTTCTGGTCCCTGCCTCTTTCAAGTTTGCCCAGAATGTTTTAATTTTTTGTGCTGATCTTCCTTTCAGATCTGTCTTCTGTAATCATCTATCATAGCTGTTCCACTATCTTTCAGGGATAGTTGTAAATGTGCATTTGTCATAAGCTCTCTGTAGCTTTACGGTGGAAGGGCAGTGGTAGGGAGTCATTTTATTTTGCACTTGCTCTTACTTGAATCTAGTTCCTCTTGCTTATCCTATAAAAACAGCTGCAGTTGGATGAGATCACAGTATTGTAGGTAGTAAGTTAATTAGATTATCTTGTAGGCAGGTAGACAGGGTCTAACAGCCCTTGAAGTGCCAGTCCTCAAGGAGACACCCTTCAAGGAGCCAACACAGTGAGGAGCCAACATGGATAACAATTAAGGCACATTCACTGGTTAGCATTATAAAAAAGAAAAGAGGTGCTACTTCCCCTAGAGATTGATAACAGTGATTGATATTTTAAATGGGAAATTCCTTTTATGTGACTTATTTTCCTATTTGATCCCCATTTAATCAATATTTCCTGGGTGATTGTACTTGTCATCTTATTGGTTGGTCATGGTTTTGCCCCACCTCATACCCACCTCATAATTTCCACTGGGTCTTATAATTTTGTCCTACCTTGAACCTGCCTCACCTCGTAACTTTGTTCCATAAAAAAACCCCTGGGAAATAGGGTCCTGGGCAACCCACTTTCTGGTCCTTCTTCTGTTTCTCTTAGATGGAAGCTTTCTTTCTCTCAATAAAATTTTCCTACTCTTAACCTCAATTGTTCCTAGAATTCATTCTTCAATTTTAGAGAACACAAACTCACATTTTGGATATCTAGCAGGTTTGGGGTTACATCTGTTCCTCCTATATCAACAGAGTCTAATTTGTTCTCTGTTCTTCAGGGGATCTGGGCTTTTACTTAACACACAATTGGGGGGCGGGGCTTGAGACTGTTTTTATAAAGGGGGAATGAGGTCATAATCAGGTGTTCCTCTTTCCAGAGTCTGTGGCTCAATGAGAAAGGACCTGAAAGAACTAAACTAGAAAATTCCTGTAGAAGGCTTATACTATTGGGAGTTGTCAGGTTTCATAGAAGCAAAGAAATAGATTTACACAGCTCATATCCCTCTTCTAGAAAGTCTCAGGATTCCCTGCCTTTTTCCCTGAATTAAACTCATGATGTGATTACAGCGAGGGGGCCTGCAAGGCTCTGACTTTCTGCCTAGTTATTTTTCATCTAATATTGATTTATGTGTTGGAAACTCTGAAAATTTTTTGAGGGTAATTTTATTTTACTTTATTTTTAGAGCAAAGATGATTTATTGAGCTTCACTAGGGAACCATAACAGTGACACTATTCCAACAAGACTATTTTACTTTAGATTTCATGAGGAAACCTTTTATTAGCAACATACTTTCAATAAAGTAGTTATTAATAGCTAACTACATTAGATTTTGGGGTAGTTTCCTTTCGTGTTCTCAAACTAAGATTTTTCTAAGACATATCTGATGTTCCAGTAAAAGAACACTCTGAGTTTTCACTATATCCTCAACTAGGAACTAAGTGGTTCTAAAAATAAGATAGAAACTCAGCTCTCTCAGCTCTTCTGAGTTCCTCAAGATGAGACTGGCTTCTCCTTTGAGGGAGCATCCTGGGTAGATATTTATAAAATACTTACAGCAGTGCCTAGCATATGGTAGCTGTAGTTATATTATTGGTGTTCATTTCAGAGAATCTAGAAATAGAACCACACATATATGGTCCACTGAGTTTTGAAAGATTATTTAACATTAACATTTTATAGAATATAAACTCAATTCAAGAGCGGAGGAAAAGATAATGTTTTCAGCAAATGACACTAGAACACCTGGCATCTGTGTATAAAAAATTAACCTCAACCCTTTATTTCCATACATAAAAATAACTTGAAAGGATCTATGAACCTAAATATGAAGGACTAAAACTATAAAACTTTAAGAAGAAATTATAGTATTTATGAATTTAGGTAGGCAAGAATTTCCTAGGATACAAAAAAAAAGATGTATAAAAGAAAAAAAATTGATAAATGAGATTCCATCAAAATTTAGAACTTTGACATCATTAAGAAAATGAAAAGTAGTCCTTAAACATATTTATAATGCATATAACCTATGATCATAATATATAAAGAACTCTTATAGCTCATTAATAGACAACCCAATTAAAAAGTAGACACAAGAAGATGATAAATAGCCAGTACAGCACAACGAATGGTGTGCAAAACTAGAATCGGAAAAATACTAATCAGTAAAATAACAAGATTGAATTATACACTCATTAGGAAGATGAAGTTAAAAGTTTTAAAAGAACAAATGTCAGCTTAGGTGTGAACCAGTCAGAAATATCTAATCCTGCTAATGTGAATGTAAAACGATAAAACCATTTTGGAAAACAATATAGAAATTTCTTGTATTACTGTTAAGAACCAACAGTCCTGCTCTTAAGTTTTTACTTAAGAGGAATGAAAACACATGTTCACAATAGATTTGTACACACAAAGTGATTATCCCTTATCTGAAATTCTTGGGACCAGAGTGTTTCAGATGTTCATTTGAAATCCACTTGATCTGCAAAGAGGATAGCTACTCCTGCTTTTTTTTGGGGGGGGGTGTTCCTGTCACATGGAGTATTGTTTTCCACCCTTTAACTTTCAGACTATGAGCTTCTTTTTGAACTAAATGTGTTTCTTGTATGCAGCATATTGTTGATTTTGCTTCTTAACCCATTCTGCCAGTCTATTTCTTTGGTTGGCGAATTGAGACCATTAACATTGATGGTTATAACTGATACATATTGACTTATCATTGTCATGACTTTTTCTTTTTGTTGGATTCTCCCCCTTTGCATTTAATTTCTTGTCACACCCAGTGGATTCATTCTGCTTGGCTTCCTGGTGTTGTGATCCTCATTGTCTTTTCCTAGGATATTGTCTAAAATGTTTTGGAGTGTTGGTTTGGTATTCATGAAGTTCCTATGGTGCTCTTTGTCATGAAAGTATCTTATTTCTCCATCAATTTTGAAAGATAATTTTGCAGGGTACATCAATCTGGGTTGGAGGCTGTTTTCCCTTAGGGCTTGAAATACATCACTCCAAACTCTTC